TTAGCAAAAGATGCAGATAAAGGTTTTAAAAAATGGCCCTGAAATTACTTGTGTAGGGTCTGCTTGGGCGGTGTGTGTGTGTGTGTGTGTGTGTGTGTGTGTGTGTGTGTGTGTGTGTTGGACTAGATGATCTACAAAGTCCCTTCCAACTCTGTTAATCTGTATCTATCTGTAGGCCACTTTGAAAGAAGGGTGGACTTCAACTCCCAGAATCCCCCCAGCCAGCCGCCTTAAAAGCGGCCAAGGCTGATACACCAAAATGGAGGCAAAACCACAACCAACACAGCAATGCTCCTCTTCAATGCAGAGATTGTAAGAAGGCGATATGAACCTCCCTTTCCTTTACCCGTTTCTAGTCCTCAGTGTTCTCAAGAGCTCAGCAGGAAGAAAAAAAAAAGAAATACTAAACCACTGGCCCTGGAATAGAGGCCCGCCTGCACAAGACGGCGTGTTCTCGGGCCGCACGTCTTCGGCTCCTTACCTTCGTAATTGACTTGCCCGTCCCCGTCGATGTCCGCTTCTCGGATCATTTCGTCCACCTCCTCGTCCGTCAGCTTCTCGCCCAGGTTGGTCATCACGTGGCGCAGCTCGGCGGCGCTGATGTACCCATTGCCATCCTGGAGAGCAGAGAGGAGAGGAGGGGAGAGGTGAGACAGGCGGTCCTTGACTTACAGCCGTTCGTTTAGTGACCGTTCAAAGTCACGCCCGACACCGAAAAAAAAGCGACTTTAGGACGGTTTCTCACACTTATGACCGCTGCAGCATCCTTACGGTCATGTGATCAAAATGCGGGCAGCGGGCTCGTCTTTACGACGGTCGCAGCGTCCCGTTTTGCTACCTTCTGACAAGTCAACGGGAAAACCAGATTCACTTAATGACTGTGTGACTAACTTAATGAATGCAATGATTCACTTAAAAACGGGGGGCGAGAAAAGTTGTAAAATGGGGCAAAACTCGCTTGACGGATGTTCCACTTCGCAACATAAATGTGGGGCTCAGTTGCGGTCGTAACCCGAGGATTAAACACACACACCCACCCCCATTAAGCAAACTCACCTTGTCGAAAACTCGGAAGGCCTCGCGGATCTCTTCTTCACTGTCTGTGTCTTTCATTTTCCGGGCCATCATGGTGAGGAATTCTGGGAAGTCGATTGTGCCGTTGCCTGGGGAAAGGATCAGTCAGATCAACTGACTAAAAGAAATAAAATCAAGACAGCTCTTTGCTACCCAATCGCGAGAAAGAGCACACCCAACGCTAGGTTCTCCACCAGAGAAACTGAGATTGACAAGAAACGACATGCTTTAGCCCCTTCTCTCTCTCGTACTGGTGGACAATGACTTAAGGGTGAGCCAAAAGTGTAGCGCAGCTGCCAAAAAAGCCAACACAGTCCTAGGCTGCATTAACAGAGGGATAGAATCAAAACCACATGAAGTGTTAATACCACTTTATGACGCCTTGGTAAGGCCACACTTGGAATACGGCATCCAGTTTTGGTCACCACCCTGTAAAAAAAGAGGCTGGGACTCTGGAAAGAGTGCAGAGAAGAACCACCATGATGATTAGGGGACTGGAGGCTAAAATATACAAAGAACGGTTGCAGGAATTGGGTATGGCTAGTCTAGTGAAAAAAAGGACTATACCAGGGAAGTCAGTGGGTGGGTTAAGGTTTTTCTAACTGCTATCAGTCCAAAGGATTAGCCCTGTCTTGTCTGCAGTCGTCGAAGTGAATTCCACATTTATTACAATAAAATTCCTTACTTACTCCTGAAAAAAAAAAAGAAAAGAAAAAAAAGGGCTGTTGACATGATAGCAGGGTTCCAAGATTTGAGGGGATGCCCCAAAGAAAAGGGGGTCAAATTATTTTCCAAAGCACCTGAAGGCACAAGAAACAATGGATGGAAACTAATCAAGGGGAGAAGCAACTTAAGAACTAAGGAGAAATTTCCCGACAGGGAAAACAATCAACCAGTGGAACGGCTTGCCATCAGAAGCTGTTCCAACACTGGAGGTTTTCAAGAAGGGAATGGACAGCCACTTGTCTGAAATGGGCATAGGGTCTCCTGCTTGAGCACGGGGGGGGAGGGGGGGGTTTGAACTAGAAGACCTCCAAGGTCCCTTCAAACTCTTGTTATTGTTATTCTCCCCAAACTGCCTTCCACCCAACCTGCTCACCATCCGCATCCACTTCGTTGATCATGTCTTGCAACTCCGCCTCGGTGGGGTTCTGGCCCAGGGAGCGCATCACGGTGCCCAGTTCCTTGGTGGTGATGGTGCCATCGCCGTCTTTGTCGAACAGGGAGAAGGCTTCCTTGAACTCTGAAAGGAACCGGGCAAGAGGGCGAGGTCAGATCCAAACTCGCCCCCTCCATCTTTCAACAAGGCAAACGAGGCTATTTTATTGAATTTAAAGCCCACTCCCCAAGTTCCAGTCTCCTGATTTTAAATCTGCAGCCTTCCCTAGTTTCCAGAAGCCCTACAGATTTGCTATCTCAGAGTGGATCTTATGGACAATCAGTTAATGCATCTAGAGGGCATCCAGCTGTATGACAGCAGCCACAAAGGCAGCAAAGGGGGGTGTCATTCAAGGAACGGGCTCTGTATATATTCCAAAGAACAGGAGAGCAGATGCTGCAGAGATGTCTAAAATCCCTGTTTGGATTAAAGAAAAAAACACCACACAATTATTTTTGTTTCTACTTGGAAACCATTTCGGGACTTTGTGTTCAAGGTGCGGGGGGATGAAACTTTGATTTTGGGTTTTGCGGATTAGATAGGTTTGTTGTTATAGAAATAGCTAGTTTATACTATTGCGTAAAAGTGAAAAAAAAAGTCAAGGTTTGATGTTATCTTATTCTACTGGACCAAAGTCAATGCCTTTTTCTTTCCTTTTTCCTATGCTTTTCCCTCGCCTATCTTTCCTACTATTTTGTTTTGCATTTTTGTATTTTGTACGATTAACAAATAATAATAAAGAGAAAGGAGACCACATGCTGTCTCATTTTTTCAGAAGAGTAGTTGATTGTGAGAACTCTTTGTCTTAACGGTCAGTTGAGTTTACAAGAAATCTGGTTGAAGGTCTGCTTTTCCAGCACGGTTGTTGCTGTCAGCCACTTGCTATCCGAATCGATTCTGCAACTATTCCAGGGACCCTCAAATTCTTACCTGCAATCTGCTCCTCGGTCAGTTGGTCAGCCTGCGAAAAGTTCACGAGAAAATAAAGTCAAGACTCCCCTTCTAGCCATCCCAGTCTCCTTCTTATAGGTAGTCCTCGACTTACAACAGTCCGTGGAGTGACCGTTCGAAGTTACAACGGCGGCACTGACAAAAGCGACACCATCCCCCTTGGCCACGTGATTTACATTCGGATGCTTGGCGGTTGGTTTTCCAAGACACCGCAAAAAAGCCGGTTGCCAAGCGTGTGAATGTTGATCCCGCGACCAACTGAGATATCGCCTTGGTCGTAAAGCATGAAAAACAATCGTAAAAGTCACTTTTTGCAGGGCCATTTGCAATTCCGGTCACTAAACAATCTGTTATAAGTCGAGGACTACCTTTAAATGGTTTTAAGATTAATATATATATATTTGACATTCTTCATTTGCAGCATTTTTTCTTTTGCACAACTGCCTCAAACGTTTGCACAGTATCGTTATACCCGTTATCTTTTATATCTCCTATACATCTACAGGCAGTCCTCAGTTTACAACAGTTCACTTAAGTGACCGCTTCAAAGTTACAGCGCCACTGAAAAAAAGGGACTTAGGACCGTTTTTTTCACACTTGTAGCCTCCCCAGTCAGGTGACCCATGGCAGCTGACTCCTATTTATGACGGTCACCGTGTCCTGGGGTCAGGTGATTCCCCTCTGGCATGCCAAGTCCAGGAGGAATTCAGATTCGCTTAACAACGGCATTGATTCACTTAATGTTTGTGACAAGAAGAGTCATCCAATGCGGGGGGGGGGAAAGAACCTCACTGGGAGCACATGTTCCACTTAGCGACCTCAATGTGGGGCTCAATTGTGGTCGTATGTTGAGGACTACCTGTTATGTCCTTCTTGAGCCTTCCAAGCCTAAAATAATCAGACAAAACACCCAGAAAATTCCTCCCCCCCCAAAAAAAACCCCCACTTCCCTTTGCATTTCTCCCACTTTTGCATTTAAAGGTAACACTAACTGGGCAGAATTGGGTGGGGTGGGGTCCATCTGAAGCCCCCTCCCCACTCTATTCAAGGCCCAGCCTCAAAGCAAGGACCCTCCCTCCCTTCTTAGCCCCCTCCAGCGCCCCCCC